GTGTGATTGTATGAAATCCTTTCAATATTTTTTTCCTCTACATGCAAGCTGCACAAGGCTATAAGCCACATATCTATTAACAAGGAAAGAAGTAGCTCCTATTCTGGAAAATACACTAAATGCTAACTAACATGACATACAGAGTTGTCCCCCTTCAATTACCACTTTATAATTAATTGTAGTTATTAAGGATATATTTAAATCATTTGTGACATGTCTCTTAGTGTGGAAACTGGCGGTGTATAACACAATAAAATATCTAAATATACCCGTTAACTCTGGGGAGAAAACTGCTCACAGCAACCATTACGGTACATGAAATATAAAAGCAGTGCAATGCTTAAGTAGGCCCCAAAAAAAACTACTGTTGATATTTTCCGTGAACAGACATAAAATTTGAAATGAAGATTGACCGATATTGTTTAAGTATCAAAAGAGTGACAGAACCTAGTAATACCCTCCCACTGAAATACTGAGGAGAAATAAACATGTTTACAAACATAAAAAAATGTCTTCATTACAACTGACATGTTCCCAAGAATTGCTTGTTTTAATCTAGGTGATAGTGACAGCTCTAAGCCCTCCATCCAAGGAAAATACTTCTGTTAACCATTCCTCATCAAACACATGCAAGATAAACAGATCTTGTGTTCCAGTGGACAGATAGAACTGTCAGTGATATCAAGATACACTAGAAGGCTAGCTGTACCGCACAAATACAAGTCAACATCAGGCAGATCACACACAGATACCAAACACAAATACATGTGTCAGTCATATGTATTCCAGCTTGACCCAGTCTTCAAATCAACAATGACAGTTTAAGACAAATATTCTCTAAATGAAAGACCATCATATGTTGCATATACTAATTAATAAAAGCTGTGTACATTCAAGAGCTGTGGGAACAATTTAAGTGAACTTCCAAGATGACATCTGTAGTCAGCTGATCTTGACTTAATGTTTGTAGATTTGTGTGACCTCTGTAGACAGGGAACCTTGACTAATGTTTATAGATTTGTGACCTCTGTAGTCAGCTGACCTTGACTAATGTGTGTAGATTTGCGACCTCTGCAGACTGGTGACCTTGACTAATGTTTGTAGATGTGTGACCTCTGCAGACAGGTGACCTCGACTAATGTTTGTAGATGTGTGACCTCTGCAGACAGGTGACCTCGACTAATGTTTGTAGATGTGTTAGCTATGCAGACAGGTGACCTTGAATAATGTTTGTAGATGTGTGACCACTGCAGACAGGTGAGCTTGACTAATGTTTGTTGATGTGTTACCTCTGCAGACAGGTGAGCTTGACTAATGTTTGTTGATGTGTTACCTCTGCAGACAGGTGACCTTGACTAATGTTTGCAGATGTGTGACCTCTGCAGACAGGTGACCTTGACTAATGTTTGTAGATGTGTGACCACTGCAGACAGGTGACCTTGACTAATGTTTGTTGATGTGTGACCTCTGCAGACAGGTGACCTTGACTAATGTTTGCAGATGTGTGACCTCTGCAGACAGGTGACCTTGACTAATGTTTGTAGATGTGTGACCTCTGCAGACAGGTGACCTTGACTAATGTTTGTAGATGTGTGACCTCTGCAGACAGGTGACCTTGACTAATGTTTGTAGATGTGTGACCACTGCAGACAGGTGACCTTGAATAATGTTTGTAGATGTGTGACCACTGCAGACAGGTGACCTTGACTAATGTTTGTTGATGTGTGACCTCTGCAGACAGGTGACCTTGACTAATGTTTGCAGATGTGTGACCTCTGCAGACAGGTGACCTTGACTAATGTTTGTAGATGTGTGACCTCTGCAGACAGGTGACCTTGACTAATGTTTGTAGATGTGTGACCTCTGCAGACAGGTGACCTTGACTAATGTTTGTAGATGTGTGACCTCTGCAGACAGGTGACCTTGACTAATGTTTGTAGATGTGTGACCTCTGCAGACAGGTGACCTTGACTAATGTTTGTAGATGTGTGACCTCTGCAGACAGGTGACCTTGACTAATGTTTGTAGATGTGTGACCTCTGCAGAAAGGTGACCTTGACTAATGTTTGTAGATGTGTGACCTCTGCAGACAGGTGACCTTGACTAATGTTTGTAGATGTGTGACCTCTGCAGACAGGTGACCTTGACTAATGTTTGTAGATGTGTGACCTCTGCAGAAAGGTGACCTTGACTAATGTTTGTAGATGTGTGACCTCTGCAGACAGGTGACCTTGACTAATGTTTGTAGATGTGTGACCTCTGCAGACAGGTGACCTTGACTAATGTTTGTAGATGTGTGACCTCTGCAGACAGGTGACCTTGACTAATGTTTGTAGATGTGTGACCTCTGCAGACAGGTGACCTTAGACAGAAAGCCTTGTAACATGTTTTGGTTCACTTTTCTCACACTTATACACACATACAACCAATATCTCCTAACTACACTGGACCATTACTGGAGAAAAGAATGAAGCCATGGTTCAGGAAAACAACAAACCCTGTTTTATGTAGCAGAATGTTATTTGGTGATGTAATTCTAACAGACATTAAATTTATAAACATCTCATAAAAAGACAACATGAAAGTAAAACAAGAGAGAGAAAAACAGAATAAAATTTAAATAACAATTATGAAATTTTAGACAATGCTGGTTTCATGTTTTGAAAACTCACAACACAGATTTTGAACAATTACAATACCTATTAAGTAAAAATATGCTAAATAAAGATTCCTATCTATCTTCTAAATACAGCAATTAACATTCTAATTGTTTTGTGTCCTCCTAACATTCTATAGCTAACACTTTGTAGGTAGAGACATGTTCACAGGAAAAACGATTGTACGCCTTAATGTTCACAAAATTTAATCTGTTTCTGGACTCAAAATGTTGACTACAAGAAATACTAAATGCTGTGCAAATTTAAAGTTGCTTCTTGTCCAAAAACTGGAAAAAGTGAAAAGGGAAAGTGTGATAAAAAGTTGAAGTAATTGTATCTTAAGCTTTTGTCAAAGAAATTGGAGTGATTTTCAAATAGCAATTAGTGCACAAGATTTTTGTCATTTTTTCATGCAAAAAAAATATTACCAGAAGAAAGAAAAAAAAAAGACCCTTAAAATCCCAAATGCATGCTCTCAATATAGTCATGCACAATATTTAAATTGTTAAAAGAACACAGTGCGTTTTACATACCAAACACTTCCCCGCCTCAAAACGGAAAATTCAACAAATTAAAACTCAACCACAGAGATTTGGTAGGAGACCAAATTGTTTAAAGCACATTTGAAATAAGTTAAAGTCACATGAAGTAGCCAAGGACATGTCCCACTGGAAAACAGGCAAGTTTTCCAAGGTTCATTTGCAAAATAAAAGTTTTCATTCCCAGAGTAATTATGAGTAATCATCAAATTTAATCCTGGTTTGAAAATTCTCAACAATTACTCTAATTTCCTTTCTAAAATTAGAAAGTCAATTAAGTTCTGCACTCCAAAACATTAAAGCCCTTTTTATTTGGAGAAAGTGATAAATTGTTCATGGTTAATGCATATCATTTCAAATTGTATCCTGCTGTTGGTTTTTTAATGAGCCGTTGCTACCGATCAAGTGGGTTGCTGTCTTCCTATCAAAAACCTCAGCAGAAGTTTTAAAACCATATCAAGTTCTACAATATTACATTGTGTGTATCTAATCTTTACCTAGCTAACACAACACCCCTGACAAATCAGTAATCACAATACTCTCCTGATCTATAGGACAGACCCTGGGCAGTTTCATTTAATTCTATTTTCTACAATACTATATTGTTATATCTAAGGAACTGGTATCCCCCTTTTACTACACAAATTCTTCCTCCATTTGCCTCTTTTTATATTCAACCCTGTTAACATTTCAATCAAAAATATCTTGAAGACATTTTTGTAAGATGTAATAGGAATACTATTGACAAATAAAAATGATAAATTAAATGCAGATTATACTTATATAAACTGGAAAGCTTTCGGAATTCTGGTTTTTTTTCCCATGCAGATTCAATTTTCAAAACTGTAGTGACTAAAGTCACTATAAAACCTTTTAAAAGAATTGTAAAAAAAATCACTTTTTTGCAGAATTACATGTTATTGTGTTGTGACATTCTTACATATATTAGCATCATTCCAAATCATTCACAAACAAAGCGTTACATTGAAACCTGATGACAAGAAATTCAAACAAACACAAATGGCAAATTTGTATCAAACCAAATATATCAGATCCAAATTTTGAATGCATAAAAATTAAACTTTAGCTTGGTAACAGCTGAAGAAAGAGAAAGGACGAAACAAGAGGCCCATAAGCCTGAACAGTCACTTAAGTTGAAGTTATTAACATCATTGGTGGAGAAATTGTCACCACCACGGGCGGAGAAATTGTCACCACCACGAGAGGAGAAATTATTAACAGCACAGGCGGAGAAATTGTCACCACCATGGGCGGAGAAATTGTCACCACCACAGGTGGAGAAATTGTCACCACCACAGGCGGAGAAATTATCACCACCACAGGTGGAGAAATTCTTAACAGCACAGGCAGAGAAATTGTCACCACCACGGGCGGAGAAATTGTCACCACGGGCGGAGAAATTGTCACTACCACAGACAGAGAAATTGACACCACCACGGGTGGAGAAATTATCACCACCATGGGCGGAGAAATTATTAACAGCACAGGTGGAGAAATTATCACCACCACGGGCGGAGAAATTGTCACCACCACGGGCAGAGAAATTGTCACCACCAGGGGTCGAGAAATTATGAACAGCACAGGAGGTGATATATATTGAGATTTGTGTTAATTTGGTATCTTGGAAAAAACGCTTTTTTTATTTTCTTTTCTTTTTTCTATGAACAAATGACAATAAGCGTTATCTATTGTTTGTTTTCCTTAACAGCCATTTCTGTATTTGTTAATGTGTGACTGTCCTTAATTAACGAAGCAAAACTTAAAAGGGGACTATCCAACTCACTTGTATCCTGCCTGGTTGTTCTCCGATACGTAAGCAATGTAAGGATTTTCAAAGAACTGTGGAGAACGATTTCCAACAAGGACCTGAACGATCTCGAAATCCGACTTCTGGAAGGCGTCAAGCGCAGACATATCACGGGCAGAAACAACAAGCTCATAAACACGTCCTCTCTCAAACTGACCGTTTCCACTGACTGTCGTGATGATTCGCCCCACATTTGTTCCATTGACATTGACATTCTGGATGGCAAACTTTCGCTCACCAGCTGTGGAAATAAAAAGCTGATCGTGTGTAAATGTTTCCCATCTCCTGCTTAATATCAGATATGTATATATTTCAAAAACATTATTTATAGCAGAAATTCTTCAAAATTTCTAATAAGTCATTGTCATTCAGTAAGGACAATAATATGTACTACAAAGCTTTGTTTTCTCACCATATTCTTGATTTCTATTTCTTTGAACTAAACTTCCACAACTATTCTCTAAAAATTGTGCTTTTGTTTCTTTTAAACAAAAATCTAAGTACTGATTTCATCATATTGTGTGATTAGGAATATAAAATCGGAGAAGCTTATGTGGTACTGTTATGGGTTAGAAGTCACAGCTTTTGACCTCTGCGGTCAGTTGTGAGGCTTATTTACTTGCATGACTTATATGAGAACGGGAAAATAAAATCAACACAATGAAAAAAATGAGAATCGTGTGGACATCTGTTCCGGGCCGTATTTCGGGATGGTGATTTTATTGAGACTAATCACATGTATTATTGACCTGCATGTCAAGCTTCAAGAATGAACAAAAATAGTGATTTAAACTTCGGTACCAAGTTTTATACTAGCACCTGTCTATCATGTGTTTGTGACTGAAACAGATCATCTAGAACCATCATTTGTAACTGTATAGAGGATGATTTCAAGATTGAAATAAAAATAACATTCTCATGAATTTAATTAATTATACCTTTTAATATGAATCACAGTAACAACTTCTGGACTTTCTATGGTTGCTACGGAAACCATAGCCGAAATTTACAATAGTCTGCTTGTTGCATCCTGGGATCGATAGGTCATTGGGTCAAATTCCAGCATGACAACCATGCTTGTTTACGATAAGAATGTTTGTCACTTACAAGAAATAATATTGGACTATTAGAATTTGGTCAGCTTGCAGAGGCTTTCGTTAATATTTAAACAGCACAGACGCCGATGGAGATGTTAAGTAAATCGTATGTAACGTCAAGCCTTACATCTGTTCATACCAAATCTTTGAAGGCTACCAAGCCTATTTTGTGTTTTTGAAATATATCAAGAAAACAAAGGATTATATTTAATGTTTCACTGAAAATCTCGATAAATTGCCTTCAGTTATCTGTTATATCAACGAACTTTGGTCAACATACGGTTACCACATCACAAGAAAAGGTGCAGCTTATGTTTTGGTGTGTCTAAATTATGGACCAAATAAAAAAAGTGACTCTAGGGCTTATATACCCGTGTGAATCATAACCAAGAAAATATGTCAATCGTCAAATTTCTACAAAACAATGACTGTGTAGAAGACAATTATGCCAACTGTTAGACCTTGTTTATTCTAAAACTCTGATATGTACATGGTGTTATGTCTTACAGAGCAGAAACCAAGCTGTGTACACAGTGACTAATGGATGCACAGGCAGGACAGCTGCACTCAAAATCAGTACTAATTTGTACATCAAATTATATTAATTCAATCACAATGGGGATTTCCCTCCTATCAAGTCCTAATTCAACACCATTATACACATTTCTTGCTACCACAATAAGCATACTTCCTAAATTTTACCGATCTTGACTTGATAACCTCTACATCAAGTGATTTTATCATTATAATCCTTTCCTGAATTGATAGTAATATTTCAAGTGAGTCTTTAAATTCCAGTTGTTCTACTGAAAGCACGTTAACAGATGCAGATAATAGAAAAGTTGTCAGGAAAGGTAGAGTCTTACATATGCTTGAATCTAACCTGATTCTAAGATGTATTTGATGTCTGAGCCTGTGTCTGGATCATATGCAAGCAGTTCGTAGACCATCTCTCCCACACTTGGATTGGTTGACACTGTTGCCAGGAAAGGCCGAGGTTGATTAACAAATATTGGACGTTCGTCATTGGCATCTGTCACTTTCAGTGTGATGGTGAGCTCTGTAAGATCTGTAAAAAAAAAAATGCACATTTCAACCACATAGTTAACAATATATTCAATACAAGAGTATGTGTGGAACTGATGAACGTTCCCTGAAAGCAACTTACATGGAAAGGTCAACAAAGGGCAATAACTCTGTAATTTTGGGGTATATATACCGAGTTTCATTATTCTAATTTAAATGCAAGCAAATCTATGCTCCTCAAGACACAAAATTTTAACAAAGGGCAATAACTCTCTGTAACTAAAGAGTCACAGGCCCTGAAATTGGTACAGTAAACATTGCCTTAGTATGATCAATGTATACACCAAGTTTCATGATCCTTGCTTAACAGTTAGCAAAGTTACGCTCCAGATAGGAAAGGACAGACAGAAAGACATAGGAAAGGACAGACAGAAAGACATAGGAAAGGACAGACAGAAAGACAGACTGAAAGACAAAGCATCGACTATATGCTCTCCAGAAAGAAGAATGGACATTAATTTCATACTCCCTGAAAATTTCTGCCCGATATGTATGTTACTTCGAAAAATTATATATATATTTACAGTGGCTATAAAACCATCATCTGAAGACTCTATTAAACCACAGAAGTCATTTGAAGAACCATCTCACTGAAATTTTATCGCCTTGTGGTGATGACAGCTTGAAAGTCCATCTACAAAATGCAGACTAAACAAATTCCATCAACCCGATAATATAAACAACTGCAATCACACTATGCAATTCACTTTGTGTGTACAGAAATTGACACTTTGTACACTCAAGAAATTTTTGTCTCGTCTAGAAGTATTGGATAAATGATCACTTTTTTAAGTTTAAGTATATTTGTCCTTGATAAACATTGGCTTCATTTTAATTAAGTCTTCAAATAAAACATTCATTACAATATCCCTAATGAAATGTCAGAGAAAGTATGATAAGTGATGATGAGATTTAAGGATCAATATTCCTGGGTCCTTCACCCCTCACACTGGCCCGCACCTAACACCTCATCAGATGTATAATCAAAGTACTGAAAGTTCTGAAAGGCTGAGCATGTTGGTAACATATATACCTGTCTTTGAAAGTGAGATATCATCCATCACATCAAAAAGGAATAAAACCTTTTATAGAGAATGACTATCAACAGCCATATTAGAAATTTTTAATACATTTTCCATCAAAATGTACAATTCACAGAAACAATTTAAAGTTCCAAGACAAGAGATTGTGATTGGCATTGGTATGGGATACTGAACCTAGAACTACATTAAAACTTCGTAACAGATTGTCAAGAGTCAATTCAGTTCTCATAAAAATTAAAGGTTATGTGCTCAGTTTTTCTTGAAAAATTAAAGGCCCAAAACATAAAGGGAACTCATTAATAGCTATTGAATTTTGGAAAGATTAAAGATTCTAGGAGGCTGCCATCATTGATTGTCGGGATTATCTGGTATGCAAAACTGACAAGAGGAAGGATTAACAATATATTTAGGAGCAACAATGACAATTTATATCTGTATCTATATTAATGCAAAGAATCCTTGTCAACATCAGGACAGAAATTTTAAAAACATAATACTATATAACAGCTACCAACCAGTATGTGTGCGGGAAATATGTCAATTACATATGATTGTCTTCTGAAACACTTATATGTCATTAAAAAAAGGACAGGTTTCAATTTCTTCCCTTTGTTTAGCCTGAAAAATCCTTGCATTGAATGGTGGAGAAAAACAGACAATGGTTTAAGTGAAGTCAAAGCTGGAGTGTGTACAATGCATACATTACACTCTTCCATATCATGTCACTGATGGAAATTCATTTGTCCAAAACTTTCATTAAAATTTAATCACAGGTAAGTCAACTGATCAAAAAGAAAATTCAGTATCGCCATGAAATGACGCTGTGGGGATTTTTTAATTAGCACCTCCATTATATATACACCTGTGAACCATGTTAGAAAAAACACATCATGTTTGTATAATACCTAAAATTTATGTTTAAAATGAGCATTGAATTTGTCATTAAATACCTCCATTGTTAAATGCTCTGCCACACATGGAATCAATGGAGGTATAGAAGAGAAAATGTGATACCGATCAGGCGTTATACTTAGGCTTGTCGTGTGGGAAAAGGAATCTAACCTTAAATCTTGTTAATATCTAATGCCAGGGAGATGTCGAGAGAGATATGTAATGGTCGCTATACTGAAGTGCTCTGACAACTGAAATATACTTCTCTTGACAAATGATTAAAGAATTCCACCAGATAATATCAGTTTCCCAACAAGTGCAATGAGGACATAACATCATGCTACACATTCATTGCACTTTTTTTCAGCCTCAATCAAAATTCCTTATTTATCAAAACCAAGAAATAGTGACCACAACCTTATACAGTTCACACACAGTACAGTAACATATCTATTGTAAGGTTGGATATCTACACAAGCTGTATATTCTCACTTTCATGATCAAATAAGTAATTAATTTTTCAGCGTAAGTTTTCCTTTTCTTTCTCTTGAAAACATCGGAGACATACTTGTGAACCTTAGACTGTTGTCGTGACCTTGTCATAGTACAGTTAAACTTGCACCATTTTTTTTCTGACCTTGTCATAGTACAGTTGAACTTCGATCATTTTTTTTATAACCTTATCATGCTATAACACCCTAGATATTGATTTTCTGCATGAAGTGTCTGACCCAATATACCACAGACTCCACTGAACCGATTCAAATGGCATGATCATTCTTTAAATGATCAAAATCGCCAGATGGTATGATGGGAGTTTTTTGAAGAGTACATTGAAATATTTAAAACTCTCGCCGCAGAAGAGCAGTACGCCTTTTGTTAAAACCAATTACAGATACAAAACATACTCACATTATCACCTGTCATCATTACCAGTCTTTTTTCAGTGGATGTGGGATGTTAATTAACATTTTCTCAAATTAAGGAACAGCTGTCTTGCTTGTGTAAATGGTACAATTGTTCTATATATAGAACACATCTATTAAAGATGAAACTAAATATCTAAGAAGTGCGGTGGGTGGGAAAATCATCCTCGACCAATCATATGTATCAACACAGGTTTCTGGATCTGGGGCAAAGTATAGGCCCCATTTCTTATGGTGAAATCTTCATAATTATCCAAGGATCAAAATTCCTCAATTGTTAGTCAATTTTGATATTTGTTTTCCTTTAAGTTTCTTGAGATTTTGTCCTACTTTTTTCTCTAAAAAATAAAAACCAATAAATTCCCATTACCAAAGTGGTGAATAAAGCCCTAGTATGGAATGCATGCCATCTGTATGGACACTGTCCAGGTGACTGGACACTGTCCAGGTGACTGGACACTGTCCTGGTGACTTGATGAATTTTATCTATCTATAGACTTGTATACTTTTCAATACCTCATATGGACACATCATTTTACTATGTACATTATACCTCCTATAAGTATGGAAGAATGTATATAAAACTTTATAAAGCCAAACAACATGACATTTAAAATCAGAGTGACACATAACACATAAATATCAAGATTTCAGCAACTCTTGTTATAATACGCTAAATTAAATCCAGATAAAATCACAAGTTCTAAATGTCAGCTGGTCAACCATCGGAGTCCCAGATGTAAAAAAAACTCTGGGATCCTACTAAAACCCTGCAACATCCAAAACTTCCTTAAAGCATGCACAACAAAGCCTGCCTCAATATCATACCAAGGTATCCTGGGGTTATTTTTTCCCTTTTTTTTTTTTACTTTATTTACTTTACAACAATTGCAAAACAAGTTATGTCAACTTATACTAATCACCCTTGTTGGCTCGCATGTAAGCACGCAAGAGGTCTTACTGCGGAAGGAAACTGGAGTACCTGGGGAAAACCCACGTGGTCGGGCAGGTGACCCTTACCTTTTCACTTCCGTTCCATGAGTTGAACCCCAGATGGCTAGACCCAAAGCGAGTGTGTTACCACTGCGCCACCCAATCACTAAGGTATCCAGTTCATCATCTTGCTGCTCATATTACCATGTCTGTTAATAACCACTGAATACAAATCTAATGTCTTCTACCTCACAGCTCTCTGATACCGAATACAACAACATGATATAACAACCGCAGTTGAAATGCTGTCTGACTCACAGTTCCTATTGTTGTTTAAATAATGTTTTTGCAACAACTTCCTATACAGGACCCCATTCAAGCATTCTATATTTTGTCATGTTTACGTTTTACAATTTTTGCCCACACAATTTGACTTTCAAGCGACTTCTTATACATTTAGATAGCAGTATGCAACTGTCCTTTGATCAATTCGTCATTTCTATGTTCTGCAAAATATCAATTGGACCTAATGATTTTTTCTTAATGACTCACACAAATGTCTGTAAAACTGGGTGGCATTTGTTCATGATAAACACCAAAAGGCTAAATTTTCAAATGCAAGTCCATCCTTAAAATTCAAGATGGCTGTCTGTCAGCCATTTTGTTTGTCAGAACAATCGCAAGTTTATTTTCCTATTTGATATACCAATCATTACTGTGAGAACTGACATGAGAGTATATATATATAGAAAGAGAGAAGAAACCAGACATTAAGACCACAATCTTCAGTACTTCAATAAACACTGTTTTAGTATCCAATGTTTCCCATGCAGAGATTCATCCCCTAACCTCTCATGATCAGTAGCTAAGAGAGTACCCAGTGTGGTCTGACAATGAAGCTACAGCAGAGATCTCAGGGCCAGAAACATGTCTGTCAGCCTCCTTCATGCCATTGAAATCTGAACACTGATGTATTATCATCTTTCAGTTTTCCTGTAAACAAAGGCCTATTTTTATATCTATGTTATGACTTTTTTCTTTTATCTTATTTCTGCCCCAAATGTATAGATTACTTACACAAAGAAACTAAAACTTTCTATCAGATAAAAATGCCAGATTTAATGAAGGTGGAAATAAAAATTCACCAGATTCAAGTCCCAGAAAATAAATGTTTCACAGATATCTCAGAACAATTTATCACACGATGATAACAGCCAATTCCTGTCGCGAAAATGACTACAACTAGGAAAACAATGAGTAAACACCTGTCCTTTGTGAGATTCCTCTTATCATAGCTATATACAGTAAATACCAAACTCATTTGATGTCACCTTTACCACCGAACCTTTC